AGCTTGGTGCGATCACTTTACACACTGCCCGACAGGCCTCGTCAACCTTCTCTTCGCACATCTGCTTTTCTTTCTCTGTCGCAGTGCCCCAGTCCACTTTCAGCCTAAAGGTCAACGGCTCTAAAATCTTGATATCGGACAGTCCAGCGATTTGCGCCAATGCGGTATTATACACCTCGAATGTCTGGTCTGGAAAAGTCTGCTTGTCCTCGCCTGTGCTGTCATCGTCCACTGACTCTAGTTTGCGCCACTGTCCAGGTGTCCAAGGGAAGTCACCAAGTGGTGTGGAAACAGTTGGGGTGTCTGGTGGGATCTCTCGCATCTCCGCGAAGGCCTTGTCTTTGCTCTTCCTATACGAGACACAAGAAGGCATTACCACATGACAATGATGGAAAAGCGACTGGCAAGAGACCTACTGCTAAAGGGAAGCTAGGGTGATTTCCCTCCGAAAACTTCAAGTTATGGAATTTAGCAGCATATAAGAGGCATATCTCTTCTAATGCCTGAAATCACCCCGACGGCCACGCTTACACCCAGAAATTGTTATTAGAGGGCATTTCATATCGATAATAAAGCGATTGTGCCATTTAAACAAACAAATAAAAAATAAAAGCTACCACATTTTGGTTTGCAGGTCTGAACGCAATGCTGTTTGGGACAAACAATATAAAGTGATTGAAAAGGTGATCGACAACACTTTTTTCACGTTTTTGAACTTTTAGGGTATTTTTTTCCTATAAACAAACACTCCTTTATACTGTAACCAACAATTTAGTTTCTTTAATGGTCCGTCCCTTAGGCTCGTTTTTAAACTTTAGGGTATTTTTTTCCTGGATACAAATGCTCCTTTATGTTGTTACCAACAATTACGTTTCTCTAATGGTCCCGTTCTTGGGGTATTTTCAGAGTACCGAGAGGGTGGATGGAACAAAGCATGTCGGCTTTTTATTACAACGCAAACAGGGCTAAGCTAGCCAATCCCGAACGAGCGTTCTCACGATCTTATCTTGCGCCAACAGAATTGTGTTTGAGCTATGACAAGAACTGAGGATAACTGTTTTTGCGCATTTTAATGTCAAAAACAAGAATATTTATATTAAAGATACCTAGTCAGCAGTACTGCATCATCTTCATCGCGTGGTCCCGCATTCGCGTTTCCTCCCTGTAGCCACGGCCAATTACTCTGGACCCTTTTGCTGTGCGCCTTTCTACAGCTACTACAGATCGCTTAAAAAAATCATACACGAGATTATTCATAATATCTGCTATTTGCGCAAGTTGTTTATGAGTCTCAATTATTTCAAATAAGAGGTAATCCAGAAAATAGGCAAATACTCACGTGCTCCGACAGGAACAAGAACACCAAACACTTCCATTACTTCCCTTGATACCTTCAAAGTAAATGCGCGATCTGTTCTGACCGCTCTGTGCTCTCCCTTGTGGTCAGGGTACTTGCATGAGCTTAACTTTGTCTGATTTCCCCAGTACTGCCCGAGATACGCACGGTGCTTCGGACAAACAAGCATTTTTTGTCTCTGCGTTTCGGTCGTATAAAACAAACCTGAACGCACCAAAATCAATTCTCCCTCCATAATCCGTTCTCGACTCAAATGACATCGGGATAAATGTTGACTTAAATCGTTCCTACATTGATCTAAGCTTACAAGCTCAGCTATACCTCGAAATTCTCCACAGTCTCCAAACTCTCGTGGTTTCAGAAAACAAGTCGCCATGATACAAACTCTGCTTTCTCATCCACTTTCGTTAGGTATTGCGTGACAACCAGCTAATTTGCATATAAGGAACAGTGGTTTCCTTGACCTTAGCTCTATGAACCTAACATATTTTTCCTTTATGATTTTCAAATAAAATTACAAAAAGCGTTTGTTTGAAGGTTTTGAGGAAACATTTAGAGCTGTGAATATTTTTTCGGTCAAGCGAGTGATCGATCAAGTAGATAAATATATGATACTATTATAGAGTCAGAGTTATTTTTGTAAACAAAGTGCCATGATGGCCAAAATTACCTTCTCACCGCTAAGTGTGCAGGCGGATACCCGCAGATTTGACCTTAGAACCTCTTAAAATGAAGTAAGGCCTTGACCTTGATATAAATTTTATATCAGATTTTTGTCCCACAATTGAGATTTTAGCTCTCGAATCTGAGCATGTTTTTTGGCAGTCGGGTGACCTGCTCAGAGTGGTGTCTTTCGGGACTTACAGATTGTCTGCAAAAGTATTAAAAAATTCGATATTTTGCTCATTTGTCAATAAAAGGCAGTGGAAACAGCTGGTGTGAAAGATATTTTATAATTCGTTTTAGTTTTGTTATGGCGCGGCCCTTAAAAACGACAAATTTCGGTCCTCAAACCGGGCTCTAGAGGAGACGAATTAGCCCGGACGTGATCGCGCCTGTAGGAAAGCGGAAATATATTATTTGCAAAAAAGAAAATCATTTTTATTACTTATATACCAAACCCTTTTAGTGTACAAAGTTTAAAGGGAAACTTTTTTCTGACGCAAAATCGATCGGACCGCTGTTAGCGGGACTGCCTCTTAAAGCTTTTAACGTGAAGTTCGATTAATATTTCTAAGAAAATCGTCTGAAATAGTCTCTTGGAAAGCAGGCTATATAGTATACACAAAATACAAAGAAGCTAGTCTGTAAAGTTGTAGCATTATTCTAATCTTTTCATATGATATCTTTAACTTGCTTTTTGGTATGTTATCTTAAGTCTTCATAAGGTACCGTGGGTAAATAAAGTTAGTGATTGATTGATTGATTGATTGACATTATATACAGAATTTTCATCATATTCGGTTTGTACTACCGTTACTTCTCAAACATTTACTTACAGTTTTTTTAAGTTTTTCAGCGTAGCGAAGATTCCGTGAGGCAGTAAAGTAATATTGTTCACCGACAAATCTCTGAGGAAGTAAAGAAGAGCGCAAAAATGGTCAATTTACCACTGTAAAAAATTGAAAAGCTTATATTTCGAGTTCTTTATCCCTTTCGTTAGAGTGAATCAAAAGATTGTGTGTTGTATGTGGTTTGTATATTGTATGGTAATACATCGCTATTAGTGGAGCGTTCACACTAAGTTAAACATAAGCGTTATGCCACTGCATGAACCCACCTCTGTCATGTTTACATGTTGAAGTCTCTCCCTATTCCCTTCCTCCATCACGCCTGAGCGCATACGCATGGACAAATGTACAGTGAGAAGCTACATAATAACATTTAAAAGTTATTATTGGCGAAAATCACTCCTGACAACAGCTAATACGTTCGGTGGATTTTATGGGAAATATGTACTGTGTGGAAAAAATTTGCCTTACGATAAATTACTTACAGTTCTTTTAATTTCGTTAAATTCGTAAACTGTTGGGAATATAATTTTTGGAGGTTACATGATCTCAGATATCTACAAAAAAAGATAAAAAAGTTAAAATACGTTGGAAATATTGTTTATTTCGTCTAATGACGCTCTGTATTGGTTATGGAACGAAAAATGTGGTAGTGATAAAAGAGTGGAAAATTGAGCATTGATTTATTATGCGGAGCAATCTCTAAGGAGCAAGGTGGCGCACTGTGGTGAGAGCACTGTCTCGCCTCCCACCAATCACAGTGGCCCAAGTTCAAATCCTCGCATCGACGCCATATATGGTTTGAGTTTGTTGTTGGTTCTCTCTCTTGCTCCAAGAGGTTTTTCTCCGGGTACTCCGGTTTTCCCTTCTCAAAAACCAATGCAACTCTTCCAAATTCCAATTCGTTCTGGAACGCATGGACACGTTTCAACGAGTTCTTACGAACTCCTAAGGTCTTGGCGTGTGTAAACATATTACAATTTACTATCGCAATTATGGGTCACTGTTAAACTTACAGCTGCTTCAGATTTGCCATGTATGAAAACATCCAAGATGGAAACTGCAAAAGGTTGCTTTTTTCTACATATCTGAAAAATTTGAGAAATTTGTTTGTGACAAAATCCCTGTAAGTTATTTTACGTAATTTAGGATTAGAGATCATATTATATTATAAGCATATAACTTACTAACCACACAACACTCAGTAAAGCTGGTCCGGTCCTTTTTGCTGCCTGATCGCTTTTTGTTAAGATTCTCGTCGAAATAAACAAATATTATCTGAAAGGCTGGCAGCTGGGCAAAAGGGCACATTATTAAGGCCAATATTTCAACTTATTTTACATTATACATAGGCTGGACTCTAATTACAAGAAAACTGTGTTCGTGCGTGTATGGCTATCTTTATTATTACTGTTTTCATACATTGTTTCGGCGATCGTTGGAACGCAACTAATAATGTCTTCTGCTGACATCAAATTGCTGCAAACAAAAGTATTTCCACTATAATACCATTTGTCTTCTCCTTCGTGGCATTTAGGCCCACAATCTATAAAGGGCAAATCAACAAATAAATAAAAAATTTTAAACACCGAATACCTCATATCAAACACTGAGAAGAGAGAGAGAGAAAAAAGAAAAAATCACCGACGCGACGACGAGAATTTTTGTCAGTCGTCTAGGTGTTTCATAGCTATTTTACTATATGTAATATCTTCTTGTGAAAGGTCTATCCTAATACTTTCACAATTCTTAGCGACTTTATTCTAAAGGGTGTAGCCCGAGGAAGGGCACTCCCTTATTTAGCCTAGACGGGTACGTGCCGCTGATGGTTTTGGTATATAACGGTTTTGAGGGTACTGTGTCTTAAAAAGAGTTATAATACTATTTAGCGTCTTGGTGTCTTTTTGGGTATACATTTCATGGCTGAATGCCATATAATCGTCCGCTCCATATTACTTAATTCTGAATAGGAAATAAAATAAATCAGGGTCATAAAATAAGATTTCTTGTGTTAAACAAAGTAGCGCAATAAGCATTTTTTTTTCTTAAAACAGGGCCAGGGTTTGAAGGCCTAGGTGGCACACCTCTACCCAAACTTCCCTTGAGTACCCCCTCTGGGGGTGTTAAAATACTTAACCGGATAAGACGACCGAGAACTGCTTCACGTCTGTCCCATACTCGCTTGTGGCTACGCAGGTGAAGTTCCCTTCCTCATGTAGCTGCACTGTCATGCTGCCTGATGTATTTGCCAGTAATGTAGTATTCCTTATCAGTGCAGTGTATATAGGGGGACTTCCTGTAGCAGACCACGTCATTCGGAAGCCTGGTAATACTCGAATAACAGGAGCTGATGCCGGTAGAATTATTTTCGGCGGTGCTGATGATAAACACAAAAAACAAAATAAATTAAGAATAAGAGTGCAAGTTTGTATGAGTGACTCAACTCACACAAATTTAAAAGAGCACATCTGAAAGGAGTGAAAAAGGATGAACTTATAAATTAAGCCAAGATTTAAGCTTTAAAACTTTCAGTGCCGGACAAAACCAGCGTGAAATTATTCTCTGATTTCACTTGTCACCATTTGATTACACATACTTCTCAGTAACCATTCTACCTAGTCTTCTGGCGGTAACGTTTTCAAAAATTCGGCTAGACTTGAATTAATTTGAAGTAAATTTTATAAAGCAAAAAAGTTGAAGTTGAAGCATGTATTCATCAGATCTTACTCTTCGCTGAAATCTCTGATTATACATATTGACAAAAGATAGTTATTTCATCTCTATTATCGATCTTTTTCAACGTTAAGGCTGTACTGCAAACACCCTCTAAAAAGTTATCGACTAAAACTTTTGCTTACAAAGGAGAGACTTTTCAACTTGACTAAGCAAAGATTAGTAATTGAGGTATAGTAGTACCCCTCTTTACGGACACTCGCTTAATACAGACCCCTGTATATAACGGACAGTTTCGTTTTTCACTGCGGAAAAAAAAAAACTCATATACTTTCTCTAAAATTAATCCGCTTAATGCGGACACTGCGGCATGTCCCATCGGTGTCCGTATTAACGGTTTCCATTTGTTTTTATTATAGAAAATGTGATTTCACTCAAAAATGCAAGGCAAATATACTGACATATAAACATGACCTATGCTATATCATGACTGAATTATAAACAGTAGAAGCAACAAGATATCCTTAGCGTCCAGAAATGTCTTCACAGTTTGGAGAGGCAGAGCCTGGAACAAGCTCTCAGATTGTAGGGATGACGCACAATTGAAAGGCAGGCGAAAAAGGAGCCCGTGATCTGGGAACAGAGGGGCCAGTGGCGGGCCGCCCTTCCTCTCCCCAGTTTCCTCCCATTTTATTTTCGTGTTTGCTCTTTCTCAATTTCGCGGACCTGACCATCTCGCGATCGGAGCCCGGAACAGGCTAGGGGACTGGACCGTAGACTGATTCTAATACTAGCATCCCTGCAAGTTTAAATAGTATTTGATCCTGTTACTCTGTTATATTATACATACCGTGTGGAGTAATGCTAAATAGAAGGAGGAATCCCCTCTCTTCAACAGCGTTGTCTGAGTAGAAATATATCACTGCTAAGCGTCCAGTGATAAGAACAGTTTGCCCCGTTCGCTGACCACAGTATACATACTCGCCGAACGTGAAGTCTTTCTCATTTGTAATTATCACATAATCATAGCTAAAGGAAAGGATAAGTCAGAAATGTTACACACTGGGTTAGACAAAGCGATCTTTACAGGAGGGAGGGGCCATCTCATGTGTTTGTCTGTGATCGATTCATCAACGGCCAGTGAGACGTCACTTACCAACTGGTGAGGGCTTCGGGTCGCTTATGCGAATTTGCAAGGGACCCCATAGTTATTCGAACAAGAGAGGTCGGGGAAAAGATTAAAAGCTAGGCAAATATTCCTATACCACTGGAGAATAGACGTTGCCTATTCTAGAGAATAAAATGAACTAATTTTTTATGCCCCTGCTGGCCCTGTAAAGAAGATGGCGATCCCGCAACACGGGCCACGACACAAGTTAACAAAATTGGCTGGGCTGTTATCGGAGGATAATGCCCGAGGCCGAGAAGTCACTTGATTGGCGGACATGTCGCTGGTTTGCAGCTGACGTCACGGTGACCATATTTGTTGAAAAAGAAACTTAAGGCGATTCCCTTCGTTTGAACCAAACTCTTTTTTCATGTAAATTGTACGAAAAAAAAATTGTTTGTTCAACCAATATGGCGGCCTTGTAACGTGGTTGTGCAGCAAGTGCTCAGTATAAACGTCTGGGCCCAGTTGTTCGAAGGCCGATTTGCGCTAACCCAGGGTTATTTTAATCCCGGTTTCTTTCTTTTTTGTTCAAAGGCATTGCCTGGAATAATTTTTCTATCTTTTTAGAGAATCCAATGACAAAATTGTAGACAATTAAACAAACTTTGCTTGTCTAGATCAGTTTCATATCCGAATTCAAAGTTCGTACTAACCCTGGGTAATCTTAACCTAGGACTTAGGCTAGGCCAAACGTCGAACTTTTCATGAGACGAACCAAACTCTAATTTGGGTCGACCTAAATTAAGTTAAGATCGTCTGTTGGGTCAGACGTCGAACTTAGGACGCGTCGAACCAATCAACTGAATCAGCCCAAAAAGCAATTTTAATAAATTTTCTCCCCAACGAGGCTGAATATACATTATCATACAAATTTTTTATTTATTAGTTTAGTTCGTCGCATGTGAAGATCGACGTTTGTCCCTTGGACGATCTTCAGACGTTCTATCCGTCTAAAGCAGACGGATGGAACGTGTTGGACGATCCAATCTCATTTAAATGAACTTAGCTGAGCCAGATGTCGAACTTTTCACGAACTTAACTCGCTAATGAGTTTGGCGTAGGCCCTAGCTTTGACCAACCAGGCCCTACACAACATGAACGGTTAACCGAAAATAAAAACATCTACAGCTTGAAATAATGTATAAATCATTTAGAGCGTTTTCTTTAAAATGCAAATTCAGCCACTTAATCGGCGCTTAAACTGAAAATGTATTGCAATCACGAGTGGCTGTTATGAGCTTTGCCATCCAACAATCTCTTTTACACTTTCCAACATTCTCTTCCAGTTAATCATTCCATATACAGGAGTGCTCAGTGGAGCCGATATTCAAAAAAGCCTTCCTCAGGCATATACATATATTGTGACCAAAAATATTAGATTTTCTAATGTTTTGATTTACGATCCATTCTCTCTTACCTGCAGAAGCGATCATATTCCACATCAAAGTCAGCAAAATAAACATTCATGGTCATCCCTGCTGGAATTGGAACGGAATAGATGCAGTCCATATGACTGGGGTATTCGTCTGGATACCCTGGACTTTTTAGTGAATTGTTTACCACCGAGCCGCATTCTGTTAAACAAGAGATAAAGCCAGATATGCTACAACTTTTACATTGTATAAGTAAATAATAACTACAAGTCATAGCATAATCGTCCCGATCGTCTCCATCTCCCGAGTCGTATCAAAATGATTTCAGGCGAAAGAGATTATCCGATACTCATACTCAGATCTAATGGCTGGGAGACCCAATGAGTTGCCTTGGGGCAATGGGATAGAATAAACTCTTCATACATTGGCTTGGTTTTCAGCGGCACCCAACGAGAATATAGTTCAAAACCACTTAAACATAGCATTGTTAAACGTATTTTAGTATTTAAACGGTAGATATAGGCATATTTTTATCCCCTAAATTTTTTCATCTGTTCGGATTTCCTAGCTGAAAGTCTAGTGATCCGATAATTATAGGGATCAAAACTTACCTTTTCGAAAATTTCAGCTAGAAAAAAGGCTCCCGAAAATTCTAGGTGACCTTTTAAGGGTAAAAATCCGTTAAAAATGGGCAACTATAGTAGTTTTTAGATGTTCGAAAATCCTAGGAGAGGCAGGCAAGCAAAAAATTTGACAACAAATGTTCCGAAAATTCTAGATCTCAAATTGTCTTCCGAACAGATACTTTTCCGAAAATTGTCGTTGGGTGCCCCTGTGGTTTTCATGTGATCGTCCAGGTGGTCCCCGTCAGGAAGGCTATCGAGTCCATTTTGACGATTGTATGGAGAACGGTACATATTGGCATATAGTTTTCCGGGTAGAAGCATCATATGTCAAATAATCGACTAAATATAAACGGTAAATAGACTTTGCGACTTAATTAAAGTGAGGGACTGAATGAACTAGAAAATTATTTAAGTATGAAAGAAATTATTGGGAGTTCCTAACTTCTGATGTTGTTACATTATAATTCTGCAAAAACTGACGTTTGAGGCGTTGTTATGCTATACACCTCCATTGAAATTGCAAACATTAAGGTGACTTTAACTTCCCGATGAGGTACGTCACTGCTCAAATTGACCTCGGTTTTATGAGAATGTTTGTTAGTCACTTTGTTATCTTTGCCAGTCTTACCTAGCGAGGCATTGGCGCAGTTTGTGTTACTCATTGCTATAACAAAGAGTAAGTAAAGCATCGTCACTCGTGATGGAGAGAGGGCGTGTTTGTTGTCCTTGGTACCTCTGGGCAAACACCGCCGTAACATGGGGGTTTTTAAATCAAATCCAGGATCAATCTTAAAGGAAACATGCTTTAACTTGTAGCAGCAAACATTCTAGTCTTCTCGTCCACTTTGAGTTCAATAAATCCAATTATGCAGACCAGATGTTTTAAAAATATATTAAAGCCAGTGCGCAAAATATTTTAAAGCCAACTGAGCTGCCATTCACTTTACTGCACAATGCGGAATAACCTTGAAGGAAAGGTCAACAGACTGCTAATTGAACAATCAAAACCTCTTATTGGATTCATTGGCTCATTCTGTTGAATGTTGTACAACAACCAGCAATTATCATACGATATCTAAACAGCTGTTAGCAGCTTTACTAATGTTTTAAGTTGGGCGTGTTTTGGAAAAAATGCGAATGAAGATTTTTTACTTTATTGCATTGTACTAAAATTTGTGCAATCCTTTCAAAAAGAAATGAGACCAAATGAATCTATGTCATCAAATGGGTCCTAATTTTTAGAACCTTGAATTCCCAGTCAGGTAGGAGGGACCTTATGATCCGAAGACAAGGACGGAAACGAGAACGTCAAAAAAGCATTAGGTTTAATAAATAAAACAACAACGTTGTTCGTGCATCACACTTTTTTTTGTACATTTCTTTACCGACACGGCACGACTACGACGTGAAAGTGCCTATGTTTTTTTGTAGGACGTAACTGAATAAGCAACGACGAATTTTTCTTTCTCTTTCTGAAGTTGTATAAAGCTCTTAGAATCAGTTCAACTCCAGAAAAGTTCGCATACATTTGACAAAATGAGCGATTTGGAATAATCGCGATGATGATTGAAAAAAACCGCGAATTCACTTTTTAAAGCGTGTCTTAGGCCCCCGCTAATTCAACATGACTCTGTTGGTCCAAAATCGCCAGGACCAAAACAGCTTTAAATTACTAAGTCAACCACCCATGGCGACAAACCTCCATTTCTTTTAGCCATTTATTTACGGCGGTACCATCCTGAGGGCCCAGTTGTTCGAAGGCCGATTAACGCTTAACCCGGGGTTAAATTTAACCCAGGTTTCTTTTCCTTATGTTCAAAAGCATTTTCTCGGATAATTCTCTCTGTTATTTTTAGAGCTTCCAATCATCAACTTGTAGAGAAAAATAATTAAAACTGAAATGCTTTTTAATCTTTCAAATCTGAATCCAAATCTCGCACTAACCCTGGGTTATCTTAACCCAGTTTTGAAGAACTCGACCCTGAAGTTTTTTTTTTCGGTGGCCCTTTCACAGTCCTTGCAATTGGTTACTAACTGCGTGAAATTAACTTAACTTAAGCTGACAATGTGCTAGTTGTACGTGGACTGATTAGGTTTTTAGGTGTCAAAGTGGGAAGGGAGTGGGGGGTGGGTGTTGTGGGTGGGGTTCATAGCAGGTTCCCCAGTCGCCCTCTGTAGCTACATTGTACTATTATTAAAATTTACAGCTGTACAGCTGTAGAGTAGCTGATCATGGATAAAAAAGAGATTAGATAAATCCATTCCTCCAGATTTTTTCAAAAGCCTTTGCTTGAGTGTCCATGTTTTTTCCCTTTGATTAGACCACTGATTTTCGGCCGGTCGGTCAATGACAACACGACGGAGTACATGTCATTTCCAAAAAAGTCAATTTAGCTTCCTTAACCCCGCCTGACTACAATTGTGTGTTATTCAGTAGCCAGACTTGCTTGAGATTAGTTGCCTACTGCTTGTTTTTAATAAAAACTTCGTTCAAGTTTTGTTTCGAACAAAATTTTAAGAAAAACCTCAGCCTGTAAGCAAGTGACGCCTATACAGAAAAACTCTGGTAACACGGAAAAAAGGAGCGATATAAAGTTTACCGGCCTGCGCTTTATTTCCTTTATAGCAACAGGCAGACTGGAAACTGCCCAACCACCCTTCTCTTAACCCAATACTGATATTTTGCCCAATTTGATCAAAAGCTTTGCTTGTTTATTGTCCACCATGCACATAATACACCATGTTTAAAAAAATTGCCCTTCAAAATTTCGCATAAGCTTTGTTTTCAATTTTTCATGGGGCGACTGCTAAACTAAGAAGAAATAGGCCAGTTTCGAATTATAAAAATTCATACTTGGTTCCAAAGCTGATCGGAATAAGACAAAAAAATCCCTTTGAGATTCAGGGGTTAATGATTTTAAAATGTCTTTTGTTTTTTTCCCCTCAGCCTCGGAGATAATCATGAATTTCAAAAATTTGAAACTGGCCAATATTTTTTTGTTATACTTATTTTCTGTTTGCAATTGTTTCTTAAATCTAAAATCACCTATTTTTTGTGTAACTCTAAACATTTGATTTTTAGTATTTATTGAATATTTTAAGGTTTTTTGGGGAAGAATTTTAACAACTGGTCCGAGCTCTCATTAATAAACTCTTTTTCCAAAGCATCGTTTGAACAATTATTTTTTGTTTTGAATGCTTTGAAAAAAATTGTAGTATTGTATTGGAAAAAAAGGATCTTCAATGTTTTTATTGGGGGAAAGGGGGCGGGGGGGGGGGGGGGGTAGGGGGAGGGGAGTGGCGGGGGAAAAAGGGGGGTAGAATATTTTAGCCCTTTTTTTTTTACCCCCCCCCGAGTTTTGGCAAAAGAAAAAAAATACCCTAAATATTTTGAAGCCATTTGCACAAATATGGGGGGGAAAAGTGAACAAAATTTTTTAAATTGTTTTTTGTATTTGTGTTGTTATGTTGAGTTTTTATTGTGTGTTGAGTGGTGAGAGGTTGTGGGTGTGTGTGTTTGGGGTGGGGGGTGGGGGGGGGGGTTGGTGGGGGGTGGTGGGGGGGGGGGGGGGGGGGTGGGGTTACGGTGAGGGCAGTGCCGGTGTAAAATGGTGATTAGAATATTTCAGCACTTTTCTTTTAACCCTCTCCGAGATTTCGGCAAACGACAAAAAATACCTGAATTATTTGGAAGCCCTTAGCACAATTAATGGGTGGAAATTGATACATAATTTTTACAAGTGGTTCTAATGAAGAAGAATGAAGGAACGGAGCATCCAGGGGAAACTATTTTAGATCTGAAGAGAAATCAGAACTTGAAGTGAATAATAATTAGCTAACAAAGACCAGATACACAGATACATTCTGCTACCCGCCCTCCCTCCCCTTCCCCGCTTGGCTGCTACCACAATGAGGTGCCCAGAAACCCATTTGTGTCTACAAGTGTCCGTATTAAGCGGGTTGAATTTAGAGAAAATGTAAGGGCTTCCTTTCCCCAGGGACAAAGCAAACTGTCCGTGAATGAGGTGACCGTATCAACGGGGTGTCTGTATTAAGCGGGTTGAATTTAGAGTAAATGTACGGGCTTTATTTCCCCAGGGATACAGCAAGCTGTCCGTAATACTGAGGTGTCCGTATTAAGCAGGTTGATGTTAGAGAAAATGTAAGCCGGGCTTTCTTTTCCAGTGACAAAGAAAAGGTTCGTAATAATAAGGTGTCCATACTAAGTAGGCGTCTATAAAGTGGGGTTTAACTAGACTATTTTCTCCCCTTATTTCTTTCATCCTCAATTAGCCCAGGAGTAACTTCACTCCCTTCAAAAAATTCAAAACCAAAACAGTCAAATTCTCCCTTAAAAAAAAAGGTAGTGAATAATTTAAAATTGTTCCTGATTATGTCAATTTTATTTGAAAATCACACGACTGAAAGTTTGTTTATAGTAAATACGATAAAATATTACACATGTTGTGGAAAAGGTTAAGGAATTTTAAGAAATGATGAGAAGTAACTCTCGAAAAGTTTGCATCACTCGTTGAATATATCCGGCACACAGAGGGGACCATAGCAGGACGCCAGCTTAGTACAATAAGGGAGTTTGCATTCCTCTTTATCCTTGATGTAGTTTTCTCTATTTGTACATGCAATAATATACGATATTCCTTTATATCCCACACAAAATTCATCGGGTTTACACTTCTTCACCTTGATATTCTCCAGACAAGCTTTCTTGGACCATTCGAAACACGTAGGACATTCGACTAAGAAAAAAGGAAAAGACCAGCAAATTAGTTTGTAAGTTATTTTTTAAGTTAGTGCCTGGCCGAAATCTACCGGCTAGTTATTCATAAGCAGCTATGCTGTCCACATTAGGAAGAATTGGTATAATTTTCAATCATTAAATTCTACGACTGAAGTCGATCATAAAATAAAGAAAAAGTTATTGGACGACTGACCACATGCAAAGAAAGCGGCCCTCATCCTTTTTGGCTATAAAGAATAGCCCATGTTCGATATACTGAAATTTTAGCATGACTCCGAGGCTTTCGGGTCATTTTCTTGTTTTGTTTGGTTTTCTTTGTGCTCAAGTCTCTTCTGGGAATTGCGAGGCAATCGAGTGGTGAAAAATTTGCAATTTTCTCCCTAAAACTTCGGAGTCATGTTAGAATTTTGATAAATCGAATGTGGGCTATTGAGAAAAAAAAAAAAGGCTGAAGCCTTTTTTTTCGGAACAAGCGAAGACTAGTTGACTACTCAAAATGATAGTAAGAGTATATGAGATACAACTTGACAGATGCCAACTGCTTTTTTAGAAAAATCTGGAAAATAAACGATTTGTTCATTTCCTGGTTTCTGTAAAATGGTTTATTTTTTTCAAGCATCAAATACCTTCTGGTAAAAACTATAGTTTTTATGGAACGTTTAGCTTTTGTTTGATAGAGGTTTTTATCATTTGAACACGGAGCTCCAACTAATGGCCTCTTAGTGCATCATAGAGTTCAAACCACAAAATTAAATTATACGCCTTTTTGCGAAAATTGTCGCTTCTGTCTTGGAGTAAAAATTTTCAAAACTTGACCCCGTCTACACGAAATCCGTCACGAATCTTTCAAACTTCAAAACTCTCGTTTTTATGATGTATTTTTTACTTACACCAATTGGCCTTCCATCCAGGGCCACACGCAACCAGTGAATTTGATCACGGACACCGCATTGTTTGAAACCGCTCTCCAGAGTTTTTTTTTTTGGATCTGACGGACTTGCGAAACTTCTTGTAGACGAGTGAACCCAGATATTTTCGAATTCAATTAAGTTTGTGATTTCAGCCTTCCTGGATTCGCTAGGACGTTGACTAAAGGCAGCGTTCAAACTTTGTGCCCGAGCACGGTGCCCGCTGGGCACTAATGCGAACACACCCAGGTACCCGCTGGGCACTAGTGTGAACACAACCTATATTCAAGTACCCACTCTAGAATTCGGGCACAGTGACGGTGACCGGTTACAAGGTCAAGTACAGTGCCGGGGGCCCGAGACTACTCGGACACAAAAGTGAGCACCGGGTACGTTCCTGTGTGCACGACATTTTTTCTAGTTCTGAGGGGGTCCGGATCCACTGCTTTATGCACGATGTTAAGTTTATGTTTCAAAATGGCGTCTGACAGGGCGAAATGGAGTAACAATGTACACATTCAGTTACATACCAGGGCCGGGTTGTTACCCGGGGCTAGTGCGAAGTTTAAATTCAGATTTGAAAGCTTAAAAGTAAATTCAGTTTAATTCTTTCTCTCAGCAAGTTGATGATTGGATGCTCTTAAAAATAGCGGAGAAAATTATCCGAGAAAATGCTTTTGAATAAAAGAAAAAGAAACCCGGGTTAAATTTAACCCTAGGTTAAGCGCTAATCGGCCTTCGAACAACTGGGCCCAGGAGAACACAACGCTTATTTTGTGCCGGTACCTAGCTTGGCACTTAAACCTGGATACCAAATGTGGATAACCTCTGAGAGCCTGATGTCGCAAACGTGTTCACGTTAATAGCTTTTAAGCAATAAATACGGGGAAGGTCTAATGTTATCCAGCAACTAAAATTACCCGGAACTGTTAAAAGATACCTTGAGGTTGTGAAGGTTTTTCAGCTTTAAGAATAGAAGTAAAAACCAAGATCAGGAAGCAAGCTGTTTTGAAATACATTCTTGACGAAGAATGGCAGTCTGTGAAATGAAAATTATGAAGAATAAAATATCATCTTAACAAAAAGCTGGAACAATGTAAGTAGAAAAAAGTTCAAACAAAACGAAACAAAATCAAACGACAACTATTGAAAACAAAAACAAACAAAGAAAGAGACCATATTTGAATAAGCAATTAAGTCAATATAACAGTGAAGAATTCGGGTGATAAAAGCTACTAGATGAGTACTAAGCAACGACGACTTTTAGCTCAACACAGCGTTGCAACATTGTTGCGTCATTGTTTCCAATGGTTACAACATTGCTCTAACATTGCAGTGCTGTGTTGTGCCAAAAATCGTCGTTGCGAATCGTCCCGCGTAACATCACCTTAAAAGCGACGTTTAAAAATAGAAATAAAATTTTCAAGACACGAAAATACAAAATTAAAAGTTATTATAAAGCTAACATAATGACATGGTTTGTGAGGCAAAAACTCACTAATGCTTAAAAAATGTGCCAGGCCAGGGTAAGATTTTTAGGGAAAACGAAGAGTGCAACGTGGAACAACAGCAATAACAACGATCACCCCGGGGCTACTCCCTTTAATGACCTATGCGGGGAGGCTCCGCCCGAAAGGGGTATCTGTTTTAGGCTTCAGGTATATGAAAGAGTAGGAATTTCATTCCTTGAAGTATATGAAATGATAGGGAAATCTTTCATTTTGGTTTGTAAAAAGTGAAATAGTTGAGAAAACGTTTTTGCTTAGTACATTTCAGTGGCGGATCCAGACCGTGAGATAAGGGGATGGGGTGGTGGGGGAGGGGGGGGGGGGGGGGGGGGGGGGGTCCCCAAAAACTTTTTTTTCGGCCTTTCGGGCCTCGGTTTGGTTTAAAAATAAGGGGGCCCCCCGGGCCCCTCCCGGCCTGGCTCCCCCTTTGCTTTTGCGGGGGGTGAAGGGGGTGAAAAGTGTTAAACTGGGGTGGTTAAAGTCTCTCCCTTTTAGTTCCTAAAATTCCTTAACGAATAGTTATAATTATATGTATGTGTGACAATCGCATAAAAAGCGCTGGTTAACAGGTGTAGTACCAAAGTAATAGCAGAAGTTGGATTGCGAATCCATGAGTTGAATGGTTTAACGTGTATCCCATCTGCGGCGAAACAAGGAAGGAACCGAACCTGCGCAACCTAGTTCCCAGGGCTCTCTCCTTTCCGGGGAACGAGGTTGTATTCTTCTCCATTTTTTTCTGTGGGAGCTAGAAAGTTAGCACGCCAAACCTTTCGTACACTGCATAACTATCGGTTTCTTTTCTAGGGGAGCTAAGCAGTCTAAAACTTCTGTTTTTGAGTTCACCCTAAGTGTGCGAAATACAGTATATTTAGCGTGCAACGAGACACGCTATGACACGCCAGATTTCAGTACAAGAGTAATATATATTGATAACCAGAAGAGGATTTGGCTTTTTTTCAATATTATAGGAACGATACTTGACTCCTGACAGAAACGTTTCAAAAACTGATCGGAAATCTGATCTGTTTAATGGATCGACTTTTAAAATAAAACTGACATCGGCGTTCCCAAAGGAAATGTAAAAGAATTTTCAAAGATCTTGTGTGATTTCTTTCCTATCCCCGATTTTTTTCATCAACTGTATACAGGTTTCTGGTCTAGGTTTTACAAACAACAATTATATCAATTACTGTTCCAACACAGTGGTGGATCCAGACCTTCAGATAAGGGGGGGGGGGGGGGGGGGGGGGGGCCCCCAAAAACATTTTTTCCGCCCCTTGGGCCCTCAGTTTGGTTTAAAAAAAAGGGGGACCCCCGGGCCCCCGCCGCCCTGGGTCCGCCTTTCCTTTTGCCCAGGGTAAAAGGGATGTAAAGTTCTAAACTGGGTGTGTTAAAGTCTCTACCATTTAGTCAGTAGAAGGTGTTCAAAAGAGGTATAAAACTTTGTTTAGTAGCCCCTTGGGACGACTAAAACAAAGACTCCAAATTATTCATTTTAGTACAAGGTTGTTATTCTAACTGCAGACTTAATTATAGAATGTTAAACTATGCAGTCATTTCCCGCCATAAATGAAGTTAAGTACTCTCTGAAAAGAGGGGCCCCAATATTTAGGTTTTTCGGGATGTGGGATTTGCCTTATTTCGATGCCGAACATAAGCATGGGAATTACGGGACTGTGCGAAATTAAACGTGGGTTGGGATAACGGGATTGAAGAACCCGATTGAAACCCTGTGAAACCAGTTTAATCCTGGCTATCGCCGCCTCTTAAACGATCTCACTCTTTTTTAGAAAATGCTTATTTTTCCCAAAAGTAACATTGATCCTTAAACAAAGTCGGAACCTCAGAAATTTTCAACTTAGTAATTAAGCAACAGCCTTTCGCCCGGTTGGTTCCCTAGGGTTTGGAAATAAATTAGGATACAATAATGGAGCAATTTGTACAACGGTCTAAAATTTACAATTTGTACAACGGTCTAAAAGAGAATAGGATATTTGAGTAAATCCATTTCTGTTATTTTTACAAGAGCTCTGGGCTAACTTTGGCTATTCAAATTGTCAGAATGAACGCTCTTAAGATCTTGTCCGCGTCGATACGTTGGCGGCAAAGCAATTATTCTGCGCCATTTTTAACCGTTTCTAAATTATTTTTATTATCTTTGTTATCAGTGGGAAACTAATTATAACAGGAAAGAAGATGTGAAAAGCGACAATAAAGGAAAAGTAAAATCTCGTAGAAGAAACTCGGACCTACGGAAAATGACAGCTGTTATTAATCGATTCAGCCTGTAAAATAAACACTTTCGTATAGAAAAAGCAGCCTTTCTTGCCCGAAAATAGGCCAACGTCGAAAAAGGGGAAGGAACTATGATTCCGTTGAAATTTTTGCCGTCCGACTTTGAAACAGATCATGAATATTTGGCTTGAACTGATCACTTTGATCTTTGAGCTAACTGTAACTACCAGAAGGACTCCATTTGAAACACTTCAAGCAGTGGAAACCGCTGCATGTCACTGCATCTGCATGTTTGTGCTTAGTAAGCTAAGGGATTCATTTACTTAAGGGCGTAAATCTCAGCACTAACTGTGGATTTTGGCGTTCAACTCATATGCTGCCATAGTCTACTTTCCTTAACTAAATAAATCTTTTTTTCTAGTTTAACAGCAATCACAAAGGAAGGAGCAGCTTACCTTTGATGATCAGTCAGAACGTCTCTGAGATGCAGCTCGTAGAACGGCTAAGCTGAAATGGTTAAGTTATTCAACTGCTTTGCTTAATTATTTGTGGCGCCAAAGAGGCATCTTTGGCTTTTGGTGTTGAAAGCACACTTTTGAAATGTACCATAGGGGTGGAAATACAAGAAGGCAGTGTATTTATTTTAATGAAAGCCTTTGTTTAGGATTATACAGTTAGAATAGAAATAGTAAATTCAGATTATTTTATTGTTATTTTGTACGCAAACGAATGAATAACATCACAGATTTAGTTCTCATTCAAAAGGATATCGTTATCCACGAGATGTTTCTATTAATTTGTGTTTTGTTTCCGTCGGGAACCTCCAATAGATAGCTTAACTCTCAACTCTTGCACAAGTGGTAAGGATTTCTAAGGGCCTGTTTACATGGAGTTGGGGACCCCGGTCTAGTGGGGTAGGTTTCTTTTGTTTTGTGTCCGCCAGAGCGTGAAAACAAAAGAAACCTACTCCACTAGACCGGGGTCCCCCACTCCATGTAAACAGGGTCTAAGAATATAATAAGTGAAATGAAAATGGTATTGAGGTATTAGATTATTACACCTGAGTAGAAAGGTTGTGCTCCCATGGGAGACAATAAAATTCAGAATGACATTCCCGCCATAAATGATTTTATCTTCAACCATAGTAACGATAGCGGATTGTAAATGAAATCCGGCCATAGTCAGCAGTTTATGTTGAATGCTCCCCGGCGCGTATACAGTAAACCGTCGCTTATATTGCTCCCGTTGTAGGCCCATCTGCCTGTAAACAAAAAACGCATCCTATTATAAACGCCTCAGAATGTAAGAACCCCCCACCCCCTATGTCCTGTTCCAAATATATTGAAATGAATTCTAATTGTTGTGACCTTTTTAAGCTCAATTAATAACAAGTTAACACAAATCTCAGTTTTTTGAGCACTGATAGAGCTTGTTTCGAAGCACTTTTTCTATTCCGCTTATAAGGCTCCTCGAGTACTACAAGCCCAGCTTCCTTTGCCAAGCCCGTCTAAAACCCCTTACGAGAAGGGCTAAAAAGCGGTACTCTACAGTTACTAGATTATTACTGAATAAAGTAATAGCGCACGTTTTTCTTAGTTAAATACCGTAACCTTCCGAAAATAAGCCCCAGGGCTTTTAAAGGCCCTTTTTGAGGGGCTTATATTCGGAGGTTAGGAGGTTCAGTACGGAAAACTTTGACTTTGAAGGTTAGAATAGCTTTTGTGTGATATTTTAATAAGGTCACTAATTCCACAGTTTTACTAATCATTTCATATTACAACTACCTGTGTTTACAACGATAAACACTGGTTCAAAAAAATAGTATATGTAACATGTACATATTATTTGAAGTCCAGTAAGGAAAACTCCAGGAGAGACCTTACAAGCAGCTGCCTCACTACCCGGGTCAGGGTACAGCCCACCTACCCCTCCCCTAAGCCATCATTTTGCCCTAAGTGAGAAGTGAGTGTTAATGTTAGCTTAGGGGAGGGGTAGGTGGGCAGTTTCCCAGAAACCTTAATTGATCCGTTCCTGCCGGCTTCTATGTTATCAATTATCATAATTATCCTATAATGTATTTGCAACCTTAAGAGTGGATCAGTCAATTACGGAGTTAAAAAGGGAATTACTGTCTTCTCTTAGTTGTCTTTGTTTGTAAAAATATACACTCGAGTTCTAAAAAGATCAACTGCGAAAGCGAAGCAACAATAATGTACAGTAAACTCAATTTCATAGTTTATGGCGGAAACTACTAAGTTGCATACATTCTGCAAGAGCCCCGTGGGAGCCTTGAACAAAAAGGAATACGTTTACGAACGTTTTCTTTCTACGTTTCATTTCCATAGACCTGGTGGAACTCCCTGCCATACTTATAAAAAAAAGGGTTTGATTTAAGAAAAGAATTTACTGCATCATTTTGAGCTAATCACAGAAAACGATGAATCAAGAGCTTACCTTTTAAATACAAATATTTGTGGTTTTGTGAATAACTTTGTTTTCCGAAAATTGTTTAGCGTACTCTAATTTCTTTGTATTCCTATATTGTTTACTACTAATGAATGTTCTAACGAATGGAAATGTAGCTTCTTGTTACTGGCCCAAATTCATGAGCCAAATCATTTAAATGAACTAACGATTTCTACTGAATTAGCCTTGCGACTTGTAGTTTATTTCATGATTTATTTGGTTTGTCAGGACGCAGCACTAGAAACATGTCATTGTTGAATCTATCTAAATGCAGATTATCAACTGGTCATAACTCTTTCGCCTTTCGTGGGGCAAAAGAATACAACCTACTCCCAGAAAACATTCGGAACTTAAACAATATCTCAAGGTTTAAAATGAAAGTGGCCGCCCACTTTCTTGGAAACTCTTCTAAGATTGAATCAAGTTTTTATGACTGTAGATATAAACTCATGTAAATATTTCTTGTGGCAACAGATGTAAATATTTTTGCCCCATTGTAATTTTATTATTGTATATTACGACAGAGGAGTCGTAATAAAGTGTATCTATGTATGTATGTGTGTATGTATGTATGCATGTAATTATAACGTTTCTTCAATACGTAATTAAAATGTAAAAGCCACGGATTGCTCTCTGTGGTGGTTGAATTTTTATCCGTTATCCATTCCCACAGTTCCTTGTTTTATCAGCTCAAGTGTGTTTGAACTTGAAAGTTGAATGACATACGGATACTTAACTCGGAAAATCTGTAGTTGTCGTTATGCGCCGATCAGTTGATCTGAACTCGCGGGTCTATATAGCTGCCATGGCATAAACTAAGGTAACCAAACTTACCGAAACAGCCTCAAATTCGAGGCTTATAATAATCAAAAGACTTCAAATCTCTTGAATTTAAAACGTAAATTGACGCCCGAGCGGCTAGTTTAGCGCAATTATTGCGCCAATGGATCAAAAGGAAAGCTTGCTTGCAGGACTGCTAAGTTGTGATAAGCGGAAATAGGTAACATCAGTGGGTCTTATATTACCTTAATGTTCCATCTAATTTAAACAAAATTATCGTGCTTCACTTTCGAACTGATGCAGTATCACGAACCTTGTTAAAAACTAAAACTAAGTCTTTTATCCCTAGACTAATTTGGATGCATTGTTAAGCTCTCCTCGTCAGTTCATTAATAGTCACTGCAATTGGCTAGGGATTAATCATGTAGACTGTTCATAAAAGGTCCTTTGTCTTACAGTAATATTTTGCACAACATGTCAGTGAAGTTTACCTGCATATTGAAGACCGTAAAGCGAAACTGTAAATCTCGATCTACAGGTCTGACAGTTAATCATTTGAAATCGTTGGTGCATCATTTTTTAGGACAGTTGTTTCTAAAAATTAACGAGGTTTGAAACGATACCAGCTTACAGCAAATGAGGTTAGTGCTGGTCATAGATCACGAATTGCCAATATTTAATACTCTGGGTTCGAAAAATACCGATAGATAGAGCTTTATAGGTTTATCAAATGGGGTACACGTGTGTACTTACTGATTACCTAGAGGGGTGGCTTCAACGGACGGTACCCTATTGGAGAGGATCGATTGATGATTTCGCAGGCGAGACTTAAAATAAAGTAAATATAAGTGAAGTAAAGTAATTCACATGCAAATTGTAACTAGTGCAGAACTCAATGTTCCGACAAGGTATTGAAAATAGGTAGACGGTGGGAAAGTCATTGTAGCACCATCAGTAGTCTGATGGAAAACGCAGCTTTTTTTTCAAAACATGAAACGTATCATGAACATCGTTAGATAAGATAAGATAATTTATTTAATGTCAGATACACAGGGGGTGGTCTCCCAATCCCCCGAGCCTCGGGCTCATGATAAAAGTGTTTGACAATATAAAAGAAAAATTAATTAATTAATATCTCAATAGCAACTACTTAAATTAAAAAAAAAAATGACATCTATCTATAAAAATAAATCGGGTCAAAGGCAATTGCTGCATTGACAGCCGATAAAATTTAACTTAGTTAAAAGTCTCTGAAAGGATGATGCGTTAGGTGCGTTTTTTACAGCAGATGGCAACTGGTTCCAGATGTGCGAGATCGTGTACGCATATGAACCATGAAGGAATCTACTATTATATGAGGTTTGAACAACATTCAGACCATTGCTTCTAAGATTATATGGTGTAACTCGGGTTTTGAATAAATTGGCTACATAGCCTGGACCATTCTCCTTGAAACATATAAAAAATATCATTAAGGATTGTTCTATTCGTCTATGTTCCAAGGTATTCATATCTGCCATCCTAAGAATTGATTCATAATCGGTACTTCGGTACTTTTCCCCATGTTCATTATAGCTCAACTAATACAGCAAAGTGTGTTGGAGCTTGTTAAATTATACGAAAACCATTTTAATTTGAATTTAAATTGTATATTTCGTTCGATCCGTGAGCACAGGTAGACTAACCTCAGGGGTGATGATCATGATAAGATCTTAGCTTGTAAATGAATATCAGCGACTGCTACACAGGAGTCAATAGCCTGCATAGATGGTGGTTGTTGCTGTTTTTTGGTTTCGGTTTTACATTTTCGGTTCGTAAAGTTATAGATACAACCGACGACAAACGAAGGGGAAGGGCGAAGGGTTCATGATTCCCGCCGCTCTGACTCTTAGGGCCTGTTTACGTAAAGGTGCGGGACCTCAGGTAGGTGAGCTAACCCGGTTAACTGAGGTAACCTGCCTGTCCATATAAGCTTTCATATGAGCAATACACCATCCCCCCCCCACCCCCATGTAAACGTGATCAAAGTAAAGTGATAGATTATAAGGACAGGCGGATTGCCCCACCAAAGGGGGTTAAAAGGGGTTATCTCACCTACCTGGGGTCCCCCACTTCCACGTAAAGTTACGCAGGCTAAGGAGACAAATAGTATAACAGGCCAAACAACTACTAAAAACATTATGGGCCTTTTTACGATCCACGGTTCTGATTAGCACCTTTCTCTCTGTTCCTCTCTGTATGACGGATATAAAACTGTGTGTGACAGGTACGAAAACTTTATCTCCACTTTAAAAACTGGAGGCTATTGAAACTTTTGATGTATTTGGAGTTCTCTTAAACAGTTGTATTGGCTTTAAAAAATGGAAGAGTATTACGCTTGGCTGGAACTTCAAGTTGTAACTGATGAAGAAAAGCGAAAAAGAAAAGGTAAGATAGCTAGAACTAGAAATTTTCATTAATACTGGGTAGAGAGCTATAATTAGTTTGCCTGCCTTGTTTGTTTGTGAAAGTTTTTTTCGTAAAGAAAATAGAACAACCTCGTCCCGAGGGCGCCACCTGCAAAGCCAGGGAAAAGCGCCCTGGGGACGAGGTTGCAAGTAGGCAAGCCCTGGTTCTAAAAGGTTTTCCTTTTGAAAACGAATTATTGGCGATAACTTCAGCAAAGATCATGGGGCTGAATCAAAATTTTCCACCCATAATAAACTCATCTTAACATATTAATTAACAATTATTCGCCGAAGGCGAAGTTAATATTGTTGAATAATCCCCGAGACGAAGTCGAGGGGATTATTCATCAATATTAACTGAGCCTGAGGTGAATAATTGTTTTAGTATATTCACACGAAGTGATCTCAACAGAATCAGAAAGGAAACCATTAAAAAACCATTAGTTTGATTGACGGGTGAAAATTCATGCGTGAACACGAAGCCGTAAACAGTGGATGCGCAAAAGTTAGATCTTTACAGTATCTTCAAACATGGCAAATGATAGTTTTAATCCTTTTGTATCGAGTTTTGTAAGCTTTAGCATCAACGGTTTAAAAGAAAACGCCGAAAATTTAAATTACTACCCAATTCTGAGAAGAAAAGTATCTAGAGCTTTATTTGTTTCTGTCAACTCACCGTGAATGAGAAAGTTTTCTTCGTCGCTTCTTGCAAATGCTGTCAACAGCGGCTGCGATCAAGGTAAGCGTTGTTTATCTCCAAAGTTCTTTGCCTTGTTAACTTGCTGGCACGTACAATTTTCGAAAATATTTGCCTTCCTCTCTTCTCCATAAATTAACCTCTATTTATAGGCAAAATTGGTCTTGCGAGAAAATCCCGAAATCACAAAACAGTGACAAAGCGACCTCGTTTTCCTCTGTAGTGGTAAACATAGCTTCGAGCGTACAAAAAGTCAGCTAAAGTAAACCACTTCACAATAAATCACGCTGTTTAAACACCATGAAGTCTTTTCTTGCCTTCAAAGTCATCAGCACTTGGATATTCGTGTATTTTCAAACAGGTTTTACTTTGAAACTTTGGCAAAACACCCAGTTCACGACAGCGATTTTGCTCGGCTTTATATTCACCGCCTAGCGCGGTGAATATAACGTCATAGTCCGAGATAGCTAACCAATCAGATTGCTTGAATTACCAAGATCACTGAGTGTGTATATACTAAAGTATAAATATTGTGTTGACAAGTCAGGTTATATGTCACGTGACCATTTTGTTAAAAAAATTTAAATAACTAACAAATTGGTAGCTAGTTTCAAAAAAGAAAGCAAGCATAACATTTTACCCATTCATATTAAATAATTCTAAAACTTCACTTTTGAAATGGCTGTACACTGCATTCAATGAAAACCTATGAGAGTAATTATCATTTTAAATTTAATCTTGAATTATTCAAAATTTGCATTTTAAACTTCGCGCACATTCATTCCAAACGTAGAAAGTTAGGTATAATTACTTATCTAAACAAAAGAAATTCGCCACCAATTCGCAATTTCCTTAAATTTCAATTTTTGATCACGTGACATGTCACGTGACTATAACTAGTAATGGTCATTATAACTGTTCTCCCTATGACTTTTTGGCGTACAATCTAAGTGAAATTATCGTCTAAAATCAAGCAGGTTGAAGCCGAACGAGTTAACCAATCAATCAAGCGGCGACGAATAATGCGTTAAGTTTATTCTTTTGCTTCTGCTTAGTCCGTAACATTAATCTGGGTTTTACACTTGATCATTAGTGTCGGAGTCACGAGTCGAGTCAGAAAAAAAAGGAACCTTTCTGATAAGTTCTTCGAGCTTAAAATTCGTATACGATTCCGATATTTGTGTGTGTGTGTCTTTTTTTAACTCAAACTCCATTGCTAGTGAAGGCCTACCTTTGAGGCCTCTTTAGATGCGACCACACTATATTATTGCTAACTGCACAACATTCAACCTACTAGCTGCTAGTTTATGAGATTTATTTTCCGCTTTTACTGCTTGGTATAAGAAATACTTTAGCTGTTTAAATATTCAAGTGATAATACTACTTTATACTTTTTCAAGTTTATATTTAATCAGTTCTGATCATTAGCTATGTATTTTTGACCAGCATTTGAAGATTCTTTGAGGAAGACAATAAAGAATGGCGACATTGATGAAATAATCGCCCAACTTTCCCCAAGATCCTTGTCAAAGTGTTCCAGAAATGCTTTGTTGATGGCAATGGAGGTAATAATTTACTTGCTGCATTATTGAAACTGACAACTAGCTGATTTAATTTACATAAGGAGCATTTTGATGGCTTTTTCCTATTTTTCTGTCTGTAAAACATAGGCACATTCAAATTAGTGCAGTTTAGTGCTAGCCAGAAACATCAATAGGTATCACTGCCAGATTTTGACTCAAAGTTTTGATTGTTATTCTACAAATTGATTGACTATATTTTTCGGAACCTAATAAATGTCCTCAAACCATTGTAGAAAAAATGTTTACAGTAAAGTCTGTATAACGGTAACAAAATCATCGCTGAGAATTGCAAGTGGAAAGACAGCACATATCTTTGGTATCTGATTTGTTACTTTTCAGACTCGCCCCATCTAGGATCCAGTGTTTCAAAAGTTGGATAGCGCTATCCATCATCATTACCCAGCGGAAAAGCGTAGAGATTAGGGACACCATTGCGGATAGCGTTATCCACCCGATCATAACTGAGCATTTTAAAACATTTTTTGATACGACACTTCAGTGCGAAGTCTTCCAACTTGGGATTGCGCAACAATCAGTAAAATATCAGTAATTGTTTCTGAGACCAGCTGGCCCCAGTGTTTCTAAGGGGTAATAACGCTATCCACCAGATACTGAGTCCCGATCCCCAGCTCTGATACCGCAATTGATTTCCCTGTACTTATCTGCTGGAAAGTTATTTATCCGGTGGATAGCGTACCCAGCTTTTGCACAACTGGCCCTGGTGAATACTGACCTTTCTTTTTGCCATCATGTTACAGATGAACTTCGAACTTCGTAGATTAGCTGGAAAAAAAGGACCGGACGAAGAAGACTTGACGAAGATGGCCAGTACTTTAGATGAGTTCATTTTCCGCCTTTTCGATCCCCTAAGATCAGGTGGACGAATTCGAGACGTTTTCTTGAAATCAGCTATTAATGACGTCCTGGAAGCTGCTATTGAATTCGAACAGAAAAACGTAAGTGATCCTAAACGCGAGTCTCAGTTCTCATTAAGACTGTTTTTAGGTCGAATCTCTTCAGGGACTTGCCTTATAGTTTTGCAATCTTAAAGCATAGTTTAATGCGAACTTTGTCAGTCTTAAAGGGATTATGTCACGAGGATATCGCTATAATTTAAGGTCAATTCTGTGCCAGTATATTACTTACTGCCTACACAATATACTCCTACAGAATTATGAAGATACTGTTATAGTAGTTAAAGGATTCGGTGTTGGTTTTCCATTGCCAGTAATGCTAAACATATAAACGTTTAACCCAAGACTACCAAAAGAATGAGTAATGTTTTAAAGTCAAACCTCCCACAAGCGACCATACCTTCCAAAATGCTGATTCGGTAAAAGCAATAACAATCGGTATTTATTTAGCTTTCCTTTAGTTGCCAGACGAGCGATTCAAATAATCGAGAGGACAGGAGTCACCTTCACGATTCAATGAATACACTGTACTTTATAAGGAATTTCATATTGCAAATTACTCTTGTTGATATGCTTTATTTGCAGTTTTTTGCTCATCCTGTTATAAATACCCTCATGTCAGAGAAATGGCACGGTGAATTAGGAATGAAGAGAAAACAATCCTGGTTAACCAGGGAACGCTGGACATGGGGATTTCTCAATATCTGGTGTTTGTTCGATATAGTGCTCTTTCCTTTCCTCTTCTTGGCTTTTGGAACTTACCATTTTGTGCGAAAAAAGATTAGAAACAGAAAAGGTAAGACCAATTCCTAATAAGTCTTTTTTTCAGTGACTGTCACAAAAAGGCTCGACCTGACCAGACGATCTTACTTGTAATACAACTAATTTGTATACTTAACATCTTACAGTCTTAAAGTCGTGAAATTACCTTATTACATGTCGATGTTAAAAGAATTCATTTGACATGTGTTAATCCGCTAACTTATTACCATTTTGGTGCCTTTGGCCAGTCGAATAGGTAATTTGGTTCGGACAAAAATTACAAACAAACAAGCAAACAAACAAAAAGCAAACAAAACTAAACGTTTATACAATAATGCGAACATTTCGTTCATTTACAATTTTCTGGGCTTGACAGTTTTCGCCAGCACAACAGGTAGTACGCAAACAACAAAATCGTATGTTTCAGTCTTGTCCCTTTTAATTTTGCAGGTGCGTACATAAACAAAAGCGACATATATGGTGAGTTAAAGTCCGGTTTTCATTAGCGCATGAGCATAAGCACAAGTCAAATGTGCCATTCTGCCCGTGCGTATATCCTTATGCTTGTGCGCTAGTGAAAACCAGGCTCTGATGAACTTTAAAAGTGCTATTTAAATCAGTGTAATTGTATTTTAATATAATTGCTCGTGATTCTGTAATAATAATATATAGATTTAGCCACGACTAAAAGCGAAGCTCTGGTTAATAATACTTATAAACAAAAAAAATGAGTCGTGTAATGCTAAACGGGGACGGCAATGAAAATGGCATGGTATCAAGATCAATAGATCCAATTAGCCAAAAAAATTGCACGTGCAGCACGCTTTTTGTCTTTCTTTGCCGTTGTTTTGCACAACTACAACGCTGTTATCCACGTGAGTGTAAACATCAAAAATAAAGTTGAAAAAGACACGACTTTGTTGTTGTTTTTCTTTCTAAAAGTCCGGGCGGCCATGCGATTTCTTTCCAAATAAAACCTTGAGTATTCAGCATCTATAGAACTTGAACCAAATAAAATTTATATTAAGTCCTCGTAGCGCGCCTTAGCCGACATTCCGTCATTGTAATGCATGCCTGAATATCTAGTCATTGAGAACTTCGGGACAATGAAAGCGAGGTGGTAAATTTTTTTTAATGACTATTGACCATACTACTCATTTGTTGAATGATATGACGAGAACGCACCTAAGATATATCAGCCCAGTACTAACATTATACCATCCAATCTCAGTTTATGCTTATAGTAACTATATAGCAGTCACGGAACTTTTGATCATTGATCACTTTCCCAATGCGAGGATTTCCTTTCTGTTTTATTTCCATAGATTGGTACCTCCAGTACTTCAATACTCCTTATTTCATCTTTCTTCGCGATACAATGAGTTACCTGATCCATCTTGGCCTCCACTTTGCTGTTTGCCTAGCCCCATCAAGCATTTCGTTCAGCAGGTTAGAGTGGGCCATTTGGGTTTTCTATATGGGAAGAATAGTCATGGAAAGCAAGCAGTTTGGTGATATAAAAGTTCATCGCGTTAAGGAGGAAGGGATTTCACTTGACGGTTCAATGGATTTAATTGAAGTATCATTTGAACCGCAAGGAAGCAGCCGCAAAACAAGTCCGACGTCACTAACAACAAAGAAGTTTTCAAAGTATTTAAGGTATATAACCTTTGATATTATTATACTTATTTACGCAGTGTTCAAATAAATGACATTAGTAATTATAACAGTTTGTTTATTTCTCTTCGATGCTTGCTTATTTCTTTAATGTAAATATAATTGTAAACTATAATTGATCCGCCTAGAATACAATTTTTCCCAAATGTGTGGACAAGACAACCGTACAACTTGTTACACGAAATTCATTAAAAGATTGTTGTTCTTTTGTTGTTGTTTTTAGTGTCTAAATAAAAATTGTAATTGAATAATAGGCCAGTTGCTTGCTTTATAAGATGCTGGTCTTTCGTTTTTTAATCTTTTTCTGAAGGGAAACGAAAAACAGTTCGCGCAAGCGAGGTTTCGAAAAAAGGAACTCAGGGATGGCATTCAATTGGGTTACAAGAATCACGGAATTCGAGTTATGGGGATAAATTTCAGTGAATTTTGAAACATGGCCATCTGGCAATGTTCGAATCAGTTAAGGTACCTAGACGCGTGTGTACAACAAAAAGCTTCCGTTAAACAGTGTACAACTACGGCTTCCATTTTTAGACGGAAGTGTTGATTTATCGGCTTTCTGTTAGGGGTTTAGTATTTATCTTTACTAAAATAGTCTATTTTTCCCCCTGCAGTGATCAGTGGAACGTCTTAGATCTCACGACACTTATCATCTACCTTGTTATCTTTGTATTGAGAATGGTCACGTGGGGCTTATCCAATTCCGTGGAAAACGACCGAGTCCTTCTGATTACTGGGTACCTTTATGGCCTCAGCACCCTGATTCTAACGTTCAGAGCATTCGGTCACATGATGGAAAACACGAGAGAAATTGGCTCTATTCAGATTGCATTGTTTCATATCGTCAGCGATGTTGTGGCTATATTTTGGCAGTTCATAGCGGCTATCCTAGCATTCACCATTGCCATTACTAAAGTTTATATGGCAGAAAAATCATATCTTGAAAAAGACAACAGAGACAAGAATACGTACGTAAACGAACCTTACTAGCTTTTAAGAGTGGCTAACAGGGCGCATTAATGAAAAAGTAATATTAGATGACAATAACTGCTCTAACTGCTCTCTTTGCATTTCTTAATTTTTCATTTCTTATTTTTTATGAGATAGTGGATACATTTGTACATATTGTATATAGTTCTCTCGAATTTCTTATTTGCTTATACTGTACATAGTTTTTCTTAATTTCTTAATTCTTATATTCTTTTTTTTTTCATTTTTAATTAATTAATTAATTGATTTATTCTTTTTAAACTTATTTTAGTGTTCCCACTTAGTGGTTATACACCGCTATTACAGTTTTGACACTTTAATAAAGGTATCATCATCATCATCATCATCATCATCATATGCCGGTTCAACCGTAGCCGTTAACGTTTAGTTGAGAACTTTCTTTTTTACATTTCAGGGCTTGCAACACAATTGGTTATTCTTGGTAGGTTTATCCAGTTTTTCATTTATGATAATAAATAACTTTCCTTTGAGGCTACAAGAGACTTTTGAAACAAAAAGAAAAAATCTCTTAAATTTTTGTATGATAACTTCAGTTTTAGACCATTAGCTATGTTAATCTATCGGAAAACATCCATTGGCCTTCTAAATACGTAATAATTTTTTTAAGTAATAATCTTTTATACATAAGAAAGCTTCTACTGCAAAACTCTATTTAGAACTAAATTTCGCTTTTGAAAAACTATCCAGTAGAAGTATACTTGTCTATTTACAATTTACACTTCTAAAGTAGTATAATAATAATAATAATATTAATAATAATACTACTACTACTAAGGATAATAATTACGTGGTTGCCACAGTTTAGGGAAAATATAATTTCTTCAAAGTCAGGGAATTTCACTTCGAATCAGGGAAATTTAAGTCTTTTTTGGAAGTCAGGGAAAAATGAAATTTTAAAGGTACATTAGTACATTCTTACGGACTTGAATCATGTTGTATTGGTAGAATATTGCTAATTTCGAGCCGGCTGGTATTTAAGAAGGAGTGAAGACAAATAGTAAGCTGTTTACCTAAATCATTTAAAATTTTAAATGTTAACGATAGCTGTTATAGCTGGACCTATGACCTCGAGGTGATTCTTTTAAAGATGAGTCGGTACTAGATCGAGGGAATAAGACATACTCAAAAGTGTATTTGATGCATTGGTTCTAAAATACGTTTCTTATTTGACAAGCTACTTTTAAAGATTTTTTTCCAGCGCGTTGTTTTCTTAATTAAAGTTTTAGGCGCTACTAAGTTGTCAAGATGACCCTTGTAAAACCTTTCAAAGGGTTTTTATCATCAACTTATCAATAACTTAAAAATTCCGTAAAAATGAAGCTATGGTGTTGAATTCGGAGGTACTTTCATATTCATAGTTGGTGGGCAATAGTCAAGCATCTTTGTTGGTCTTTGTTTGGTATCGTGGAACTTGATCCACTGGATTCAGCTGACGCTGCGACAGTGATCGTGGTCCGCATCCTGTATAGTGTTTACCTCATCATGGGAGTTATCTTGCTTGTCAACATGATGATAGCACTTCTGTCCAGCACTTACCAGCGAGTTCAAGTAAGTTGAAATAATTGAAGTATATGTATATCTTTTTTTCAGCGGAGCGCCGTGGATAGTAAAATTTTGCTATCTATGTTCCAGTTTGGATTCGAGTTCGAATTCGAGTTTGAGTTCGAGTCAAAGTTCGAATTTAAAATGAAATTATTGATTTTAAATTTTCGTCGGAAAAGCGTGGAAAACCTACTGTTCGAGTCTTTGAAGCCTTCTTTATTCGGTATGGTGCGAACACCTGTATGCGATATTTGAGTCTAACTCCGTTCTTTTTGGGGGGGAGAGGGGATGCACAGGGTCCAGAGGAGATGTGTTTGTCGTTAGAACATCAAAACCCGTCGAAAACCTCTGAAAAAATGGGTTATTTTGATCGCGTTACGGTTTCGTTACACATTCTATAGACCGCAAACCAAGAGACTTGGGGCTCGCAAGATCGGCTTACAGTATAAAATACTTTTACTCGGCACTTCGTGCCTCGGTCGCCCTTCGGGCGACGTGCCGTGCGCCAGCGAGGATATGGCTTGCGGTTATTGATTTTCAAAAGTCGATCTGGGTCAGATAAGAAGCGAAAAAAAAAGCGTTTACAGTAGATTTATAAAGATCCCATTGGGCTAATTAATCGTGCTAAGCGAAAGTTGTAGACATTTTTCAAGGTAAGTAATTCATTTATTCACACGAAACTCCTCTGGAACCTGTGGGTTTTGGCATCAAGTTGTTTGGCTTTTCGCGCGCTAATCACGCAAGCACGAATTTGAAAAAGTTTTGGAGTTCAAAACTCGTCAAGTTTACTTTATTTACCCATTCCTTCGTCGGCTGCACCATGGAAAATCGTTACAAAGAAGGTGAGTCAATTTTTCTTCGCTTAAGCTGACATTTTAAGCGACAAAAATCCGTATTTTGCAAAGCATCTTTTTGCAAAACAAGAGCTGATTACGCTTGCAAGACTTCGTGGACAAAATTTTGCGACTGGTAAGAATTTCTCTTTTAATCAGTGACATACAAAGAGTTTTGCTTTTTTTTCTCGGGAAAGTTATTTTATAAAAGCATTAGAAAACTTTTATCCTGTGTTTACATAGCCTGATATAAACACTCGAGGCGTTGGGAGAATTCTCGACAGTTATCCACAACTTCGTCTTGGGTTTGCATAACTGTCTCGAATTCTCCCAACCCCTCTCGTGTTTATATCAGGCTATGCAAACACGGAAGACGTTTTCTATTGCTTAAATGGTACCCCTTTCACACCTTGTCTAGAACTTCGCATCCGTTTTTACTACTGTAAATGTAATCTTTCGAATAGGAATTAATCACATAAAAGAACGTTTTAAAAGACTTTTTAAAGCCATAAAATTCATCTGTTTGCCCTTTTGGTAGGGAGTAGAGTATGTTTGAGTTCGGATTCGAGTTTGAGTTCGAGTTCGATTTGGACTTCGCCGAGTTAGACTTAGAGTTGGATTTCGAAAGTTTCAGTTATTTTAAATCATTTTTAAATAAATTCTAAAAACCCAATTAACAGTAGTGTGGAAGCCGAAAGCGTTTTGCCTTGGTTGTTGCCATCTTCTCAAAAGGTGTAATAAAGTATAAACTGCTTGCAGTCCGCCTTTTCTTCTTAAAATAAGTCTAGTTCTTATCTCAGCCAGCGCAATCGCACAAAACGCCGTGCTTGAGTTTCGCGTGCAGTAACTTTGCAAAGAAAAATAAGAAACTGCTCGCAGCTAATAAAGTACCGCGAGCGTTCATAAGGCGTTCGTGAACCGTGAATCCACATATTCTAGTCGATTTTCCTTAGCTGGAAGCCCAAGCCATTTTGAAGGGAAAACCAAAATGGAAAAGTTGATAGTAACGTTTCCATGAACAATTTTTCCCCTCTACTAACTAAGCCCTACCGAACACTTAAATTCCCTAATAGGCCTTTCCGGGGCGTTCCCAATCCACGCACGCGTTCGTAAAATTCATCCAAACGGCTGAAAAAACTGTAAACAAACATCTGTTAATCTAAAGAAAATTTCAGAGGAAATTCAGAAGAAACTTCAGACTGCTATGCATGTTGCGATGTGACCAGAGCGAATACACAGCAATTAGACCCTAATTACACATTGTCGGAAACCTCCTCTGTAATGGTCCTCTTGTCGAGAGACATTGTAAGCAGTTGAGGGAAATCTGAGAGAAATCTGAGATATGACTTTCAGTAGATTTTTAAACTGTGCCATCCATTCGGTAAAATAGGCATGACGAAATGGAATTGCTGCAATCCACAAGCGTCATTTATTTTTGTAGTATATTCTATAAACCATTTTGATCTATTGAACATAATATTTCAATTTCACTGCATTACCGCGTTTGTGTTCTGGGTGCACTTTGATATTAATTTCGATTGCTATCCATATTTGTACCATTATTTGACGAAACCATGGCGTAAATTGAAGAAACCAAGCAACCCTGCTTTGACAATAATCCCTTAATGCTCCCGAAAAGTCTTCATTTTCTGCTGTTTTGTCATGTAGAAATGCAAAGATTTAGACTGCAGGTACCACGCTCTGTAATTGTTCCATCTGTGTGATACGTATTAACTGCCTTGAGTGCTTTATCCTCTAGCTTATTCGCAAGGTTAAAACCTGTTTAATACCTCGTATTAACACCGACAGTACAATATAACATATGAATAGCTTTACTTGTTTATAATTATGTTCAGCAGCCTGAGTGTACGAGGGCAATCTAATGCACGAGGCTGGGAAGCTGCAGTGGAATTCAAGGGTCCAAGGGGACATTATTAAATATGGTTGGAGAAGTGTGTGTGGTGTACTGTGCAGTGGTTTACTGATCCGCCCAAACCATCCGGGTGGTATCGCAAATATATAGAGAAAGAACAATAGAGGAATTGTCAGCCAATCAGGAAGACTAACGTCATCAAATCAGATCAAACTGATTGGATAGTTCTTTTTCTTTGTTTGAGGATTGTTTACTCAGCAATTTGCAATTGAATGAGATGAAAAGGGTCTACGTAAGAATTATCAAGGAATACAAAATTAAACCTTCTTGCTAGCCTGCCTCTTATTGAAACAATTTATAAGATCTTCTCGCACGGGAAAATGTACCTTCTGATAAAGACTCGTTCTTGATTTAGGATCGCTACGATCGATGATAAAAAAGTTCAACGATCGCAACGATTAATTGAAAAACTGCGCTTCAACGAATCGTAGCGGTCGCGCTACCAAAGTATAAAGGTTCAGATTACTAGACTTTGTGGGCTGTCTGTTCGGCGATCAACGATCATGATGAAACTAGGTTTTCTTGAGCAGCTACGTAAGACAATCTGATTGTTCATTTAAAAGCGGAGTTTATTATTTAACTTTTTTTTTAAAAATCTGATCTCTGCTTTAGGAAAGCAAATTGCGTTAATAAATGGACTGATAAGACACCTTCTAAATTAATCGTAATACAGCACACTGCGCGTTCATATTCAATAAAGAGAAAGATTAACGAATCTGTAAACAGACTACAATTCATTTCGCGATATACAGGCTTTGGAAATGGTAAAAACCTTACAGTGTTTGTGAATTTTTGATTTCGGGGCCTCTAAACACAAAGCAATCGATCAAAGTCCCTCTGAACCTAAACTGCAAAACAAATAGGCGAGAGAAATAAAGATTAAGTTTTAAATACTACCGGATCTGATTCAGTACTGGTCAAATCATTTATTCATATTCGTTGTCTCGGTTAAAATTGGTTCAGAAATTCTTAAAAGCAAACAACAATTTATTCCTTTCAGTTACAATGCCTTTTGTTTCAGCAGACAATAACCATGCAAATGAGCAAAGAACCTGGCTGTTAAGTCTCCGATTTAAAACACGTAATTTGTTTTTTGGAATTATGTACTTTCCCTTAATCAAAAAATATTCTTGTGGTCCAAGCATAGTGGAATCGCTTTCGCCCATCCACGCTATCTGGTACCCCATAAAAAGGGCCAAAATCTCTGGTTAAAGGTGACGTTTATTATTTGTAATTTTTCGTTATAAATCTGATAAATCCATAATCTGATTCAGTCTGAAATCATACGCGCGATTTCAAAATCGCGAGATCGATTTTACGACACGAAGTTCAATTGCCACTTTATTACGGCCATTATGAAATCGCATAATTCAGTTTGCAGTACCAATATATATAAATATTCGCAGTACCTAAAGGCTTTTACATCTCATTTTGTATTTAAAACAAAAATTATGCGATAAAGACCAAAAATGGTGCGATTTAAAGCACATGGGGATCCAACGACGGTTTCCTCCTAAGTACAATGGAACATCTTTTAAGACTATCCAGAGTGCTTTTAGATCTCTTGAAATACATTTTAAGTCGGATTCTAAGCGGCGCTATAAAAATTTGTATCTGCTCGGTCATCCTATGGGAAATTCCATCACAGTTTTGAATCGCAAAATTTTAGGTTTTCTTTTTTTTTAACGAAAAATAGCCTAATCTGGATGGTAAAATGTGACTGAAATTAGGCTTCAAAAATTGTACATGAATGGAACGGTCATCTAGAAAGTTAAAATTATAGGCCAAAAAATTGAAGGCAAGGCTGATCGGACAGTTAAGGGTTATGAATCTATTTTGTTTTAGACAAAACTAGCCTTCATCAGGGGCTAGAAAAGCTAAGGAAACAGTCTAATGGAATCTACTTTTTTATAACGAATATTAGATTAGCATCTGTCAGTAATCGGTTCCTGCATCTGTCCTATGTTAACCTGAGTTGGGGCGCAACTTACCATCTCTTTCTCAGGAAAATTCTTTGAAGGAGTGGTCTTTCAAGAAAGCCATCAGAATTCAGACCTACAGTTCTTATCACCCTATTCCTGTTCCGTTTAATATCATCTCAAATCTTATATTGAGTTTGCTTTGGGTTTGGAGAGTATGCAGTCGTGGTCGTACAGTAAGTCCAACGATTTAGTTACTAAATTTCGCTGTAGCTAGTCGCATACACCTGCCGATATGTGCTAGGGTTACCCTAGCACGAGGGTTACAATACCTGCCTTGTAAACGCTCAGCTGGGGATAACTCGCCTACCAGGGTCAACTTTCCGCCGTCATGCGTGACCAGTAATTGTGCCAATTTGAACGGTATTATCCAATTTCTGAGCTTAATCATAAACATCTGAAAAATAAAAAGGTTTTTCCTGTATACGATGATAATTTTTTTCCTTTTCTTGGAATTTGACGTGTTTTCCATAAAGAACTTCAAGATTATTCTCGCGGAGCGAGTTCTATAATTTTGCAGCACGCGCAACGTGCTTATCGCGCAAGGATCGCAAGCGGAGTGCGATTTCGCCTTGGTCATAACTCTTTCCATTGGTTTGGTACCCGCAGTTGCCGATAGATGGTTTTCACTGTGACGGCATCAAAGTGCAAAGTCAAAATAGCGAGGTTTTACGAATCCTTATTTACACTAGGTTGAAAATAACCAAAAAGTAAATCTTTGTACAAGTTTCCATTGCCATAGCATGTTTTATTTCGAAAATACAGCAATTTGAACTTCCGAGTTTTCACAGTGCGTGACACCAAAACAGGAATGCTGTCTCGTTAAAAAAAAGTCTCTCCTCTTGATTTTCAGCTGTATAACCACTTCAAGTATTAGAGGATATGTTTATGCGTACGTATGCTAGTTCTCGAGTGAAAAGAAAGAGCTTTTATAGAAAACGTGAACTCCAGATGTTTTTGTTGATTTCCGGCGGCCACCTTGGTGCACCAAAACTGTGCACCAATATGGCGTCTCCATACAAAGCTCTACAAAGGTGCGTGAAACGTTTCGGCAAATAACTCAGAAACTATGGGCCACAAAGACCTGAGACTTGTTTATATGTTAGTCGTTTATAACACTTCATTTTGTTGGCTTCTTCCACTGGACGGTTTCCGATTTAATTTTTTGTTGCGTGACAGTGAAAACGATCTATAGCAACAAACCAAAAAGAAACTCTAGAAGACACCATTTGGCATGACGTCACCGTGCATATTCGTTTTCCAGGCAACACAGCTGGTTAGCCACCGACCAGAATTTTCTTCCTCTGTTTGCTGCACGTTCGTTGGCGAATCGCTAAGTATTTTTGACTCAAATAACAGCAGGCTGCAAATACAACATTGCCTGATTCGACAAGGGCTCGGAATCCTTGCCGTGGAAGATTTTTATTCACCGACAGAAAGAAAACCTGAACTTCAGCGAGAGCAACGAAGAAGACTAGTATGTTCATCGAGCGGCCGTTATAAAGCCTGAGAGTGAGTGAACACGGAGATAATGCGAAATGGCTTTGAAATACTCGTTTAAGCCATTTTTCCTCAAATGTATATTTGAATTCATAATAAAACACCTCCACAAAGTTCAAACAGTGTGAATGGCAGAGAAAAATATTTGAAGGCCTCAAGGCTATTAATTTTAAAGAGTCTTTACGTAGTGGTCGCATGGCCCAGTTGCACGCAGGCTTATTTTTGCACTGGAGGTGGCTGGGTTGCAGGTTCAAATTCCGGCGTGGCTAGTTGCAGGTTTTTTTTTTTTTTTTAACATCGTATTTTTTACTTTTTGGCTTGCTTCCGTTTATTCTCATTGCCGACCCTTTTTAGCTTCGCGAGATTTTTGCGATAAGATATTTCTAGTTTCAAATTTTGGACCGTTGCGAAGAATGTCACGCATGACGAATCACTTCAGTAAAGCTGGCAAAGTTGATCCTGGTGTTAAGGTAACCCTAACTGTGAAATTTGCTTGTAAACCAGAACTTACTTTAACAGGCTTACTAAGGTAACCCTAGCACAGGGTAACCCTCTCTCCTTGTAAACAGGCCCTTAGAGTGGGATGTAGTGGCAAGAAACTTTCCTCTTTAGTTGATTTATTATTATTGAATACAAATGACAATAACAACAATATATTATTTTATGACCATTTTTGTGAATAGTTAAACCAGTATTTTCGCTTTGCTTTCGACAAAGGAAAAAGAAGTGGACGAGAAGAACATGAGTCCTAGCTACGGCCTGAGAACTTGTAAAGAAGCAAAAAGTTTTTTCAAGTTATTCCCTTGAAAATATATGGAGCTCTCGTCACCAATAATTAAAAGTATATAAGACTTTTACGATAGTTGCAGATCACTCTGCAATGTGTTGCTTTTCTCAGTACTTTTGCTGGGTTGATTCTTTTCAGGTATAATTAGATTAATGTGTAGTGAAACTGAAGAAGGTGTTCTATTATTTGTTGTATAGCGCACAAATGAAAGAAGATCCCGAGCTCGAAGATCACGAATGGAACATAAGATGCTACAACTGAATGTAAGGATTTTAGAAAAATGTCTTTTTTGAAAATTTTCTCTTGAAGTAGGTACCTTTTACAATATAATATTATTAAATAGTTAAACAGTTTTAAAAATGGCGCCATGAATACTGTATGTCCCTCTTCACCAAGAAATGAAATTGGAAATTCTCAAAATGTCAAATTTTCACGTTATATTATTAATTGTTAAATGGTTAATGTGGAATTAACCATTGTGGGAAGTTTGTTATAAAAGTTTAGGGAAGCTATGTGTAATGAAGCTATGTGTTAATGAGGTTTTCCTTATTATTGACAACTGAGTTCATGGTGGTGCATACGCAATTGCCAGTTTGTGGGATATAGTAATGCAAACTGTTTTCAAAAATCTGTAATTGCGGGCGAGCAAAATGCGAGCCCACAGTCGTATTCTCGGTGGAGTGGTCAGCGGCACTTAAGAAACTCTGTAGCAAGGTTCTTGCAAAATCTGTCCACATTCTTGGGATGCCCGTGTTGTACCAACTAAAGTGCGTGGAATCTAGCCGGGAAGGCCCTGGTGTTGAGTTTAAGTTCCATATGATGACTGATGCCCCAGCGGTAATCTTCCCAAGAACAATTGCAACATGTTTGTTTGTTTCGAATCCACGTAGTCAGCGTATAAATTCACGTAATCATGAAAGCGGTTCTCAAAATCAATCGCACCTCTAAGGTAAACGCAAATGTTCAACCGCACTTCCTAACCGTTGGTTACTGCTAGTTGTATATAGCTTCCAATTATTATGCCATTTATAAACCCGCGTGGAACTATTTTTAACCCAATTAATACTACATGTACCACAGTAACCCTATAGGCACAGAGCCACAGGGCTGACCTTTCAACTTTGTAGTTTCTTTATTTTCTTGCAGGAAGAATCTTTGGATCTGGTTGTCAAACATCTTCAAGTTACTTATTTTGCAACGTATGGGTATGCGTTTCCGCTTACAGGTAAATTTTACACTCCAACGTAATTATTAGTTAAGAATTCGACCCATTAGTATGTATAAATGGAAGTAACCAGTAAGTATTTTAAACAATAATTAATTTTGAAAAAGTGAAAAAATAACTTTGTTGAAGGAATCAAAGAAAGGAAGAATGAAAACAAAAGAAAAGAAAATGAGTGAATAAGTGTTGAAGCAGACTGAGCATTGTCCCTAGAGCTACATACCCAGGATGATAGTGCCTTCCCTTGTACTGATGTTGCTGACTTGAAATCTTTTGTGGTGAATCAGTGAACCCTTTTAGAACTAAGATTTTAC